GAAAAGACCTAGGTTTACAATTTATGATTAAAACTCTACTAGCTACACAATATACAATATACCTAGACATAAAATGTAAAAACTTAAATATCTTAGAAACAGTAGCCAATCAGTTGTTTTAATTGTCATATTTGAATTCAGCACATCAAAATACATAATAAATAGCACATTTTATCTCTGAAGCAGACGACTTCTCAAAAAATTGTAGACCAGTGTTTCATTAATAATTTCCCCCAAAATAAGGAAGGATTCCAGTATTTACTTGTGATTATAGATTCATTTTCAGAATGGATTAAAGCCTTCCCCACAAGGAACAACAGTGCTTGGACGGCTGCCAAGAAGCTGTTTTCAGAAGCGGTATGCAAATATGAAATACCTGAGAGGGGCATTTGTAGGGGAGTTGTGCTCTGGGAATTACTCACAAATTCCACATAGCCAGAAGATTGAGGCCTGTTGGGTAAGTGGGAAAAATGAACCCTACTATCAAAGAAGCACTAAGAAAGATCGGAAATAACACTGGCAAAAATTGGCCTGAGAAGCTGCCGCTTATTCTGGAGACCATTCATAGCAGTGACAGGCTGAGGACTAAAATCCAGCTATATCAAATTCTCTTTGGGCAAGCTACAAAATTGGTTGTCAGCGCAGAGCAAACTGTGGAATTGACAAGGGACAACCCAACTGGGACTCATGAGCACTGGCAATGGCTGAAGCAGCAGCAGGAAAATAAAAGCACCCTACAGTGTACAGGGTGAATCAAGCTATTGAGCTAATAAACAAAAGAATGGACCAGCAAAAACTGTGGGAAGCAAGAAATCAGGTAATGTATTTAAAATTGGGCAAAAGGAATCACACACTGGAGTCAAAGTGGACTCCATAGTTGATCGCCTCAGCCCTCTCATTTACCGCATTAATAAGAACGGTAAATTGAAGTGGGTTCACGTTTCACAAACTAAATTGTTTGCTTGAATTAATACTGTCACAATTATGTTCTAGGCACAATGCCCCGAGGCCAACTGGATACCAGGACCTGTGGACGTGGTGTGTTTTTATTGTCATTCTCACAGGATTGTTGGGCGCCGGATTGTGCTGCTGCTACTCCCCTTGTTGCGGGTGCACGTTTTGCAACCAGTCCAGGCTGCACATTCGCTTCACTGGGAGAGCTGTAAAAAAGGAGCCAAATGACGTCCCAGACAGCACAGAAAACAAAGCCACAGAGGACGCAGTGGTCCTTGATCTGGATTAATTTGCTCATTTTTATAGTCGCAGCTAAGAAATAACCTGCCCCAGAGAAAGCGCAGAGCCCCAATACGTCAGTATCTAATCATAGACACAAGCAGTGGAATAACAACACCCACACTTCAGAATACCTGGGAGAAGGTCGAATGGTTTTAGCTGTCACACTATTGGGAAACGGCTCAGAATCAGAAGACACACCATGGACCCCGCTTCAGGACCTAGACATCCAAATAAAATGGTTTGACCTAAACACTAGCCTTGTTTTAACACCCCTAGGGAATACCCATGTCTATGTTGGGGAGGGAGAATTGGGACTACAGGTGAATATCTCGGTCCCCAAAGGAAGGGAAAGTAATTAAATGGTGGGGGTACAAACCGAAGGCTATTTCGGAAGTACCACCACAATTGCAGACTACCCCTTACTCCCCTACATATGGGATGAATTCGTAAAGTCAGGAACCTTGGTAACAGTTATTGTAGTATATTGCCTGAAATACACACACACACACACACACAGGCATTTCCAGATGATTGTGCGTGGAAGTGGGAAAAAGAGTGTGTATTTATAAGAAATACACCAAGGTCCATGAAGAAACCTGCACTGTTCAAGGTCCAGACACACCGGGGAAGGTTTTAGAAAGCCCCCTTCTGGCAAATAAAAATTAACATGGACTGGACACCGTTAAATGTCTCTAAAATAGAGCCCAAATGCATACCTTACTCTCTCCCCAGCCTTTCAGCATGGATAAGAACGCACCAGAAGTCTCCCCCCGTCTCTTCCCCCACAAGGGTGAAAAGAGATCTTATAGATACAATGCTGAGTGGTTTTGGGGTGGGAGCAGGACTCATGAATTCTGTAGATTTAAAAACAATTAAGAATAAATTAAGCTCTCTGGCCCGATTACAAAACAGCCTAATACAGACACAAATACATGCTAATGTAAATTTAGTCCAAATAGGCCTTGGCAATTTAAAAGCTAGATGGGACCTATGGCAATGGCTCAATACTACTACTTGGCTAATGCATAAAAAACAGCTGGAAATAGAAAACATACTGCTACAGCTGTCGTCAGATGCTACTGGTGTGGTGCTCGGCTCTGTTCAATGTTGATATCAGTCGGCTGCGTGCGTGTGTTCCCTCTGTGTGCTGCCCCGGCTCTGCAGATCGCTGGCACAGCAGATCCCGAGAGAACCCCCAATGACCACAGACTCCGATAAGGAATGAAGGCACCCGCCAGGTTTATTGTGAAACGAAGCACAGTAATAGTTCCCCGCAGACTCTACAGGGCGTACTATGAATATGTGCCCCCTGACAATGGACCGGCTCAATCAGTGGCGGGATTTGCCACTGCTCTCTAGGCCAGACAAAGACGTCCACTCAGGGATGCATTCTTATACACAGGTACAAACAGGTTTTGCATCATTGAACGCACTGAGGTACAGCCCCTCTATGCATTACAGTGTTGCCTTTCTCATGGTGCAGATTAGTTTGAACAAATAAGTCTATCCATCATACTCTCTATTCATCGTATTGTCCTTTCATATTGCCTATTCATCATATTGTCTATCCATTGCATTCTTCTTTTATACTGTCTTTAGACTGGGTCTGCCTGTTCCTTGTTATCTGTGTGGGTGCGTGCTGGCATACGTTCATCTTATTAGTACTTACATGTGTATACGCTCTTGCCAACCTCTGTGAGCAGGGCCTACCTCTGGCCCACAGCCTAACTTTGCTTTATGTTAGCAATGTCTTGACCATTACTTCAGTTCAGGCCTCAGGCCTCATACCAGGTCTCTGATACCAAGGGTTTATGTCTCACGGCCTCCTCTTACTACAATAGCCATGGGGTGTGCTGAGATGCAGATACTCGCTTTGGAACATAAAATGTTCTGGGTAATATCAGGAAACACTAAGGTTTTAATACATTTGTTAAAGTCCCCCCCCCCAAAAAAAATCACTGTTAAAGACCTATCAATATGAGTAGATGCAGTATGTTTCTAGTTTCAGAGTAGCAGCCGTGTTAGTCTGTATCCGCAAAAAGAACAGGAGTACTTGTGGCACCTTAGAGACTAACAAATTTATGTGAGCATAAGCTTTCGTGGGCTACAGCCCACTTCATCAGGCGCATGTAGAGGAAAATACAGTAGGAAGATATATATACACAGAGAACATGAAACAATGGGTGTTACCATACACATTATAAGGAGAGTGATCAGTTAAGGTGAGCTTTTATCAGCAGGAGAAAAAAAGAACTGTTTGTAGTGGTAATGAAAATGGCCCACAGGATTGCACATCAACAGTCTCTGAAAGCAAAAATATGGCAAGTTAGCCCACTCCCCATATTGCACATGGGATCTTTCTGGCTACCCCGGATCTTGAGCCACTGGGCTGGGGAGGAAGGAAAGCTATTGGACACCAAAGGTTGTACCGAGTGGACACCTCAAAAGTGCGTGTGCTTGTCCTTGCCTGTTGCTCCAGAGCCCTGTAGTAAAGACATTTCACTAGGATCGTGTATGTGGAATAAATTAAACAATAAAACCAAAATACTGTATAATGGGCAATGTGTATGTGTTAATTCCTGGGAAAAGGTGTTTTGAAAGAATGGAAGTGGTAGCAGCCCACCGGTAAATAAATGTAAATGTAATGTAAATACGGTATTCACCAAAAATGATACCTGTTATCTACCTCAGCCCAAAAAGTCTCAGTTTACGCTGAGCACTGAATTAGCCAAATTTTCTGTCAATCTTAGCATTAAATGGCAAGAATTCACCAATCACTTGTTAAAAGGTAACACAGTTCCTAAAACAAACAAAATGCAATGTGGGAAACCGAACCATCCATATTATGCATGCAAATGGGAATATGTTAAAAATTGCTACTGCAAAAAAACAAACAACAGCCTACCATTGGTATGACATATTCTCTGAATGGTCTCCCACAACTACTGGCATACTATCGGTAATGCTACACCCCCTATGGATTGGTTTGGTTCTAAATTGTATCTGTTTAATTGGGATGTGTAAAATGTGTTGTTAAATAAAAAGGATGTATGCGCGATTAGAGCCACAGGCCCAAATCGCCTCCCAGTATTTTCTATTAAACAAATTAAATAAGAAGTGACACTAGCGATTAATAATCTTAGTGTCAAAAGGGGGATTATGTTGGATTAATTAATACATTAATTATTTTTGGGGAAATATGGTCCAGAACAGACCCCAGATTTGGCTTGTATTATTAGAAAGAAATATGTCTCTCAGCCTGTTCTCTCAGCCTGCTGAGTTTGTGCTAAGTGAAGCAGGCCTGTTAGTTAGCAAGGTCTGTGCTAATTGTAGAAAAACATTCAGAGACAAAGAGTTTGTCCTAAGAGCGAGAAGATAACATGTTACAAATGTTTTTTCTGAATTCAGGAACAAGATTTGTTGTTCCTCCACTTTTACATTCCTATCTTGCTTGTTTTCTTTTCATGTGTGACAAGTGGCATGGATAGATTAATTGGAGTCTGTCATGCCCCAGTGATTTGAGAATAGTTAAGTGAAATAGGTGTGATTGTAAATGTATGTTTGAATGAGTAATAAAAGGTTGAAGTGTCAGCCTAATAAATAATAACTACACAGGAACATCGGCCAAAGAATGCACAGGATGGAGATAACTGGATGACCCCGTAGGGCAAACCGGAATCCACCCCCAGGTACCCCAAGGACGGACGGGCCGAAGAACCAAAGAACAAGATAACAACAAGCCGTCACTGCTGTGCCATCTGCATGATGGACTATCATTTTAAATGTGAGAACAGTGATTAGTTGTCACTTCAAATTGAAAACAGCATGACGAAGCAAACTCTATGGATTTGGCTGAGGATGAATTCCTATAAAGACAGACCCTGAAGACTGAGAACTTTGAGTCTGGTTCTGCAACCACCCTCCAGGAGCATCAGATGCACATCTGACAAGACTCAGCTCCATCCTCGTGTCCAGGCCACTTGGCCAGCGGCTTGGCATGAGCAAATCTAAGGCTGGTAACTATGATAACAACCTTGCAGAACCTGTGTGTGTATAAATAAATGTGTAAATAAATGTAAAATTGAATGGAATGTGATAGCTATAACTGACTGCTTACTATGATTCTTTCTGTATTCAAAATAAACGTGGCATTTTGCCGTATCCCCTTTAATAAAATCCTGCTAGTTTTTATTTTATTGGCATAACAAAAAGCAGGATTGAAGACAAGATGGAGGGGTTTTCAGACCTTTTATATTCTCTGCCCGTGGAAGGACACCCCTTTGTTCTTACTGTGGAAAATCACAGCAACAAGACGGAGTCTGGAGTCACATGTCCATGCATGACTCAGTTTGCAGTCAGACGCCATTGTTTACATTTTAGTTTGAACATTCCCAAGAAAGCTCAATGGATTGGCGTCTCCCAAAGTCCATTGTCAGTTAAGTGTTTCTTGATTGGGCACTTAATCTGCAAATTCCGTTCTCAAGAAGCTGACCAAATGCTTCACTGAGGCTACTTAGAATCAAAACGCATTGAGATACAATTACATAGCCAATACTCATAACGTCAATTACAAAAATAATACACACATACAGATAGCATAATAACCAGCAAATCATAACCTCTTTATAGACACCTCACATGACAACCTTTGTACAATATTTGCTACAAATATATAACAGTGGTTGTAACAATTATCTATACCAGGGGTCAGCAACCTACGGCACGCAAGCCGATTTTGAGTGGCACGCTGCTGCCTGCCGCAGTCCCGGCCTCCAGCCCCACTCAGCCCCCCCACCCCACCACTCTCCCCTGCGAGGGCAGGAGGCAGAAGCTTGGTCCTGCGGCAGCCAAGCTTCCCTCTTCCCCCAGTGTGGTGCTTTCCTGCCCCTCCCCTGCCCTCTCCCTGCCGCCGATCAGC